TTTGTTATTTTTTCTTGTCACAGTAATATTTGTTTGTTCTTAATTCGGTATTGTATGAAAGAGAACAACAATTCCGAGTTTACCAGTATGTGATGATTACTTTCATTAAAATTTTTACCGATGACAGAAAATTTGAGTGTTGAACATAATAAAATTTTAAGCGTACACGTCTTTTTTGAGAGTGGATAAATGAAAGTTTTCTCTCCATCCATCCAACACCCATATCACTCACTCACCTACTTCTGCTCACGCTAAGAAACAAATTTGGAACGAAAAAAATCCCCAAACACAAACTCAAACCCAAGTCATTTTGTGCATTTGGGGTCTGAATCTGAGTTCAATCTAATCGGACCCAAATGGTTTGAGTTTGCAGCATATCTAATTGTCTTGCATTTTTCTCTCCAGTGAAAAACTTTAATCGAAGCAATTAATTTTTCGGAATTCAAAGATTTTTGCTTGTCTAGTTCAACATGAAGTTTTTCTTTTGATGACTAAATCAATGAAGTTGTTGCCAAATAAACTTCAGCTTGCTCAAATGAGCCATTATACTGTCATTCAGTTTGACTAAAAATACTATGCTTTCTCATTCAATAAATTACAAATGTTTGATTTCTTTTTTTCTAATGCAATTTGATCGAATAATACTGAGAGTAGTTTCAATCTAAGGAGAGTGTTGATGAATGAGTGTACAATTTTCTCTTTCATGTACAATTGAAAATATCTTCCTTTATCGACTGAGTGAGACACCTATATTCTATGCTCTCACAGGAATGCCATGGAGTTGTTATTTGCCAATCATCATTCGCCTAGAAGCAGAGAAAAAGCTTGATACGATTGTTTTTTTTCTCTTCTTTTACACATGACATATTGATAAGATGCCCAGAACCAATGACTAATGCTTTCTGGAGCAGAGTTCTAAGTGACTGATGCACTTTGATTATAAATATCGGGCAATGAATTATTTGAAATAATAATATACTAAACGATTCAGAATTTTATTCTGATTCGAACACGCGACTACTAGTTTGGGGTTAATTTTCTAGAGATCTATTCGAAGCAAATTACTTTTCGATGGTACTGACCTCTATATTTTTTTGTGTTATTGGTGTAACAAACAAATGAAGCTTTTGACACACTATATTATTCCATTGGTCCCCACCATTATTATGGAAACAACCTTCTCAGTGATGAGTATCAAAAAAAAGCAAGCAACTCACCCAAATAAGATTACTGTTCAGTTGTGTCTTATCTTATTCTAACTTAGGGTATATTAGAATTCTTTCAATATTTTCATTGCTCAACTTTCCTCTATAGATGTCGATGGTGAGAAGTGCATCTGCTATTGATAGGTCGAAAGAAACGACTTTTCTTCGAGAGACAGTATATCTTATCGAGTGGGAAAAAGTTTCGTAGTCGACGTTGATTCATTCGTCATCAGTCATATACTGTTATATTTTTCTTCGTGAGCCACAACTTGGAATAAAAACTACACATTGAAAAATTTAATTTTTTCAAACAAATCACATGCTGGACGAACTCAGTGAAGGTAAGACTATTTCTTCAATGAACGTGTCAATCATTATTACCTACTTCATTGTTCTTATTACAAAATTGTAGAGTCAATCGGCTTATACGACCTAGTTCCTTGGAATATTGATATCAAAGATTTGGCGTTAAGTATATCCGATAACTTCGAAAGTCCATACAACATGCTCAATCTGAGCAATGGTAAAAAGCAGCTTTTTAACTAGCTTGAAACTAGTCAAATATTTCTGTATCAGGTACTGATCGACTAGAAATATCTGCTCTCGGAAAGACGAACTACTTCTTGCTAGCAAGTGACGCGCAACCGTTAACTGAAGCAAATGCATCGTCAATCGATCCGGATTTCGATGAATGGTTTTCAGAGTTGACTAATGCCGGTAATCTTTACAATAATTTATTGCTCACTAACTGTAATTCAACATTTAGATGAACGCTCGGTATTAAATTCTCTGTCCCCGCCGGACAATCGAATCAATAAAGGCTCTGCCTCCCCTCTAATACTTGGTTTGTGTTATGACTCATTCCATTATCTTAGATCGGCTTGGAACCATTTTTGTTCTAGAAAATGCTCAGCATAAAAGTCCTACCATTTTGAATGGTGCCGAACCACGATCGAATGTTGCTCAAGAATCAATAGTTAATGAAAGAGAGAATCAGGTTTGTTAGCGCCACCTAAACTTCAAAAAGTCTAAAGATGGATTAAAGTTGTTCAGTAGCTTTGATTATTTCCTTCATGTTTATTGATGATAATCACTAATTCTCCACCGATGATGTATAAAACGAAAACATATCGAGAAATACGCGTTTTTATCTCGAATATAAAATGAATTTTTGAAAATCTGTATCCATTATCTGACAAACAATTGATTCCTCAACATTATCTCGACATTTCATTTTAGTTACAGATTGAAGTGGAGCAAGCGTCTCAGTCTGAAATAGACAAACGGGATTTGATAGCTATTGACCTCTCGATGCGCGGTCTTGATCGATTAATGACTATCAAAACAGAACCACCAAGCTATTGGCGTCTACGTTACAAAAGTGACGGTAAACGACAAGTTAAAAAATCTCGTACTCATCCAATGGAAATCAATGTATGTATTCTTCTTCCGTCTTTCCAAGTTAATCATTTTTCGCACATTTCTTCAGCTGAAAAACTTGAAAAAATGCTCACTGAATAACAAGCAATCCTTCTGGATTCAAGTTACCTTGATAACGTCTACAAACAATCCAAAACAACAGTATTTTATTCATCCGAATAATCTTGAATATCATGATCAAGATGTGTATGAAAACAATCATGCATCTGTTCGCATCCTGGTAACACGACAAGATATTCTCAAAGGTGTAAAAAAGTAAGTGGATTATTATTATTGTTCTGTCTCCAGAAACGGAAGAGAATTGATTGCATTCCCTATTAAAAAGAAAACATCCTTTTTTGATTGAAATATTATAGTATGTCCCAAAAGTCATGATAACAAGAGAAAATCAAATATTTTTATCCAGTTTTAATTTAATGAAGTGTTCTTTTTAATCTTTTTGACATAAAAATTCGCTGAATAAACCCTAGAGAAAACAGTAGGTTTGATATTGCAGTCGCAGGAAATCCATTTAATATGTTTTTTGTTTGTCATTGTATATTATAGAATTCATCGTCTTTCAATCATTGCTACGAAACGTGATCATTACACTTATGAGTTGACTCCATTTGATCAATCATCGACAAATAACTTATCTGAAAAATGTATCTATCTTGAATTCTTATTATTTGAAGAAGACGCTTTTATACTCTACATTTCAGATACTATTGATAATGAGAAAAAAATGACAAATGCAGCAAAAGCCAAGAAGTTTATTGAAGATTACGACTTGAAGTCATGCTTGATTTCTTGTGAGTTGATAATAAAACAGAACGAGACATGGCATTTAACGGATATCACGTGTAAAACGCATATCATTACGGAAGGTGAGCAATACTCCAAACAAGAAAGGAGACAGAAAACATATTTATTCTTTTAGAAAAACCGGAAAAAAAACAAACAACGTTAGTGAAACGGCCGATATCTAGAACCGATGACGAACGGCTATCAGAGGACGATAGTTTCACTGCGTCAATGCCAAGTCCAGCAAAGAGACAAAAACAGTCCTCACCGCCAATAAAAGAATTACCGGTAGAATTTGTTACTAATCATTTGATTCGGCGGCATTGTTTTTTGTATTTAATAGGTTACATATATTCGAAAAAAGAAGTCAATCGATCCAAAGGATCACCATTAGTCAATCAACATGAGTTTATTATCATCAGTATAGTATATCTGAACAATAAATTTATACATAGCATTGTAGATAGTTCACACGTGTGAAATATCTACAATGCTATGTATAAATTTATTATTCAGATGCACCGGTTGGTAGCAAACGCTTCCAGTCGATTGTGTAGTGAAGATCAATGACATTTGCATGTCTTGAACAAGACATGCAAATGTCATTGATCTTCACTACACATTCGATCGGTTGTTGAAAAGTCAAATTTGAGTTTCTGAGTAGTTCTTTGAGAGTAATGAGTGAGGGCGTACATGAGTGCGTATCAGTGGGAGTGTGGAATTGTGAGAGTAAGAAGATAAGTGCATGGGTGAGTGTGTGAGTGTATGTAGGGGTAGAGCTTTATCTTTAAAATAAAGATAAAGTTCTACCCCTACATACACTCACACACTCACCCATGCACTTATCTTCTCATCCTCACAATTCCACACTCCCACTGATACGCACTCACGTACATCCTCACTCATGCAACCACAGTCACAACAGGAACATCGTATTTTTTTGTCATCATTTTAATCGAGAAAAGTTTGTTTTTATATTATTGTTCTACTAGTATGTGTCTCGTTTCATGTTTTTACCAGTTTTACTGCCATGTTCTATTTTAAAAACACGTTTTTTGTCTGTTTATTCAAGATTGTATTATTATTAATAAAGCAACGCTCTTTTATTGATCCAAAAAAATTCGTATTCTTTGTTTCTTCATTAATAACTTGATTGTGCATACTATTTAGGCGCGAGCGTCGTTCTCTGCTTGTGCGTATCCTCACCCAAATACCCACACCTATAAACTTTTCTACCTTTATTTTTAATAATATAAATCCTCCTATCAACAATTTAATTCAGAAGTATACGATTTTGTTTTCGTTCTTATTTACTCAAAGCCCCTTGTTTCTACTACAGAGAATGGATAAAATATTTGTGTTAGTTATTTTCTCTAAAATGTTAGTCTTTATTGTCTGAATAAAAGAGATTCAAATCGATGAAGAAATGCATCAAGTCATTTGAGCGAACGAAAGTACGATCTAAACGTCAACATGATGAGTAGTGATGCCAGAAAAGCAGGAATCAGCTTGCAGATGTGAATGTTGCATGACATAAACCTAAAACATGATTAAAAAGAATGTGATTGAAAATTATTCTAGATCTAAAGCACAGACCATGTCTGATGGATGCATTTCATAGTCGTACGGTGGATAGTAGATGACGATACGTTTGGGGCCAACTACCGATTTATTATCTTGCGAGGTTGGATCGTGTTGAAGAAGCAAATCCAAAAGACGATAAATGCCCATGACAACCATTTGATAGCGTTCAAGTGATTCACAGAAGAGTGCGTCAAACGTGACTGGTACTGGCTAAACCAAAATGATGTTTTGAGGTCAATCAAAAAATGATAGAAATCATACTCTTGAATCAATGTTTGGAATGAGATCATGAATTTCGAGCATGGATACTCGTGCTCGATTTCGCTTTCTAAGTATCTCTGGTGTTTCACATTGAACGAAGCGTTTACCTTCAGCCAGGATTTCCTCCAATGGTAGATCGATGCCACCCATTAGGATGTTTCGAAGAAGGTTGACTGCATTGTCATTGTAATAGGACTACGAAGAATAACATATACTAATTATGTGGTAGGTCGAAACACACTTGGGTTTTTCTTCAATAAGATTAGAGATGTCAAAACGATCGACTTTTTACAGAAAAGATCGAAATTTAGACTGATAGTAAATTACGTGTAGTCAAAATGAGTTTTTGTGAAAATTATGGACTATGAGATTTAATTGGATTCTGAATTAGCTTCTGTAAAATCCTATAAAACTATTTACAACCCTCACACAGAGAGCGATTGGTCATGATTGTTCATATGATTTATTTCTAGCTGGAATTATGGTAAAACTACATATATGTGAGTCGTATCTCATAGAAAAAGTCAAGTTTTGATTTAACCAAACTTTGTCTAAAATTTTCAAATGTATCATTTTTCAGTTAAGATAAATATCACGCTGATGCATATTTAATTTTCTGTAATAAATCTGCACGCAAAATAATCTTCGCTTTATGCACATGGCAATTTCAAGTAGTTTAAATCACATCACCTACTGTTTTACTAATCAAAATCTTGAGTTCTTGTCGAAGTTACTCAAGAGATACAAAGCGGATTATATGACTTTTTTCTTTTTTGTGGTTAACTTTCTGATCAAAATATTGTCCGTAAACATGTTATATTAGTATTTCAAACGTTTAAAAAAATGTTGATAATTGAGCATAAACAGAAAATGAAATTCAAGAATTCCGAATAAACTATCGTAAGTCACTGTTCGAACAAGTTATACTTACACAACTCAATAGACAGTCAAGTACACTATCGGCAAAAGCAGCACCTTCATGTAGACAATTATGTAATAAGGGGAAAATAAAGTGATTGTTTATTGGTACCTGATGCAAATGGAGTAGTTAAAAAAAATTGCAGATCTGCTTCGTCTGTATGGCCTTTAAAATAAAGAATGCGGCATTAGAAATAAGGAAGAATTGATCAATCTACCTTGTTCTACATATTGAACATTCGAATCAATTGCTGCAACAAAAAGAACAAATCATAGTTTCTGCATAGTAGAACACGTGAATTACTCAGTGTGGTTAGCGTCTGAATTCGACTATGATGTGTAAACTTTAGTTCAGTCATATCGGAAGCAACTTTGCTTTTCCTAGTCAAAGTTAGAGCTGCAATCAATCCGGCCGATTTCATTTCGATTTGTCGAATGCTAAGAGCAGACAGAACCGATGATTTATCAACTAAATACTTGTCTCCATTTCCATGATCCACCATGGACATAATGACACATTGGCGACAATTTTGAATCGAGATAAGCTTTAGATTGTAAGGATTTACCGGCGAACCCTACAATTTTTTTGTTAAGATAAGTTTACTTACTTTTCAAAATTAGAAATATTCAAGAAGAAAACCACATATTTCTGGACTCCTAAGCTCTTTTGTAAGGATACAAAAGAGAACTCTGTGTTACGATTATATTCTGAGATAATTTGGTCCAAAAATATGCTATTTTTTTCCTAGCTTAGACTTGTCTCACGTTGAGAATGTAAATGTCTGGAAAGGTCGATATCATATTCCATTCTTTTCGGATGTAGTCGAGTTCAGTGACAAAAACAATGATCGGTAGTTCGTGACGATGAAATGAGCTGGCACGAAGAGGCATGATCAGATTATGTAGACCAATGATTGGCGATGATTTGTCTGCATGGAGACACACGATTACATCTGAAAACGAGATTACAATTGTTCACAATAGTCCTTTTGAGATTACCAAAAGAGCTGATATTTTGTTTCGTAATTTGTAAGTTTTTGGCAAGCAAGTAAAAGAAAGAGCATTGATTAAGGAAACTCGAATAGCTTCGGACAAGTTGAACTTGACAAAGGTCTACTTAGCAAATTAGTTTCCGTGTAAAATTCGAATTTCGAGTGCCTATAAAATGATGATATTGGCGTTTATTATTGAAGAAACAAAAACCCATTAGACTATTAATAAGCTATTTCCCGAAATTAGTATTCATCTATGATACTATCTTATCTAAATACAATATGTTTTACTAAATCTACACTCAACAACAAAAGATATCCTATTCAATACTTTAGGCACTAGTCAATACATTCTTGCCTCTAATTTTGTTTAGAAATCTCGAATGAGGCTCTACAACTAACAAAACAACGATTCAAACTTATTTCCTATTTAATATCTTCTAGAGGCGTGTGTTATTTATGATTACCGTTTACGACAGGTTTTCTATACATCAAGAAAGGTTTTTATTTCTACAACATGATATTTAAATTAACGTAGAATGGTTCTAACAGAAGTCCTGTCTTCTTAAATCATGTTCGATACAAATTTCAGGTTCTTTGTTATGAGTAATCGTACTTACGATCTTTAAAGCGAAGAGGATGTTTGGGAACTGTTGTTCGGTCATATGTAGTGCGCTTTCCACGAAATAAGGCACGATAGTCTCGAAGTAGATTAACATCCTACAGAAACAGAATGGGTATTTGGTGATTTTTATTATCGTGATCTCCATATTAATGATAACATACAATAACAGCATCTTCAATTTGCCGCGATGGTGTAAAATAAAACATGCCAGTAGAATCAAAGCTTGAGACATCCTCCTCGGACAGTCTACAAACAAAAAAAGAGCAATAATATTGATATGCCTAAAATCACACGCACGATCGTTGTCCAGAAACTTCAATACTGGTAACTGAATCAAGTTCAGAAGATTTAAATGAGTAAGTATATAGCTGTTCTCTCATTCTAGTTACATGCAATTCTCAATTTTGCCACCATGAAACATTTTAAAAAGAAACGAACGAAAAAATGAAGCATAAAACATACACGTCATTACGACCCAAACATCGAGAATCTCGTCGTTCAATTTGTGACGAAATAAGAGGTTGAGTGACATCGGCATCCGACATACAGCTAGAATACGAAAAAGGGCAAGAGAGAGAATGAGAAACACAGATAGAAAGGCGTATTCTATTGTCAGACATTCGAATAACTCACATTATAGCATGTTCATTCTCTTGAATATTTGGCGACTGATCAAGAATTCCGATTTCTTCTTCATGTATACCATTGGTTTCTACTACTACGGACATTATTAGATGCATGAATAACAATAGTCACCAATGCCGACTTACTATGTGCGCATTTTTGCATGCATTTCAACTGTGATTCTGTCAACTTGTCGAGTACCGGATAACAAGTTGAACAATAATATCTCACTCTACAAAACCAAATCAATAACTGATCGGTATTTTTACAAAAAGAAAAAAGAAAGCTAGCGAACCGATTAGCATCTTCACTGCAAATGCCCACGACAAAAGCACGGCATCCACGAGTAATAATACAGTCGTCACAAGGTACAACGTCGACAATCAATTGCATATTACCATGTTTGTCAGTTCGTCTTATTTCAACAGCCAAAAGCATGACACGAAGTTTAAAGCAGATGCTACACAATCAAAATTGAACAATCATGAAAAAAAAAGGATTACGTACAGAACACTCTCGGTGTATGTTTTTCCATGGAATGATGGAGACATTTCTTCGAGATACATTTCCATCCCAGCACCTCGATGATACAAATGACGCCATGGCCAAGCTTGCGTCTAGGTAGAAAAAGAATCAATCAAATCATTCACCAGCATATTTCATTTAGTGTTTCAAAATACATACACACTCATATGGATTGTGATCAGTCAAACAACAAGCAGGAGACTAGAATGACAAATAAATTTGCCATGCATCATTTTGCTTCGAATGAAGCCTGACATAAATCGATGATATTCGGTTGTAGTGTATCTTAGAAGAGTTTTGACTTCAATCTTTGTCTCAGAAATCGTTAATTGTAGATAAAAATCTATTATTTTAAGCAGTTCAAGTTTTCCATATCATTCGATATTTATATAGAAACGAAAGAAAAGTAATGACGGTTATTCAAAAAATACCATTCATTTGAAAAATCTGTTCATCTCTATGTAAATATACAAAACAGTCATTGTCATTGTTTAATAACTAATTATGTATAAAAATTTCTAAATATAGTATGAACTTTGGTCTAAAATCTTCATGTTGTATTTTTGATACTGTCTTTTGTAAAAAATGTGGTTCACGAAAAAACAAGCAAAAACTGAACGAAATCGTTTCGTGCATCTGTACTTCCTTTATTCTCACATAGAAAATGTCAAGGGCGATCTGATAAATGGAACCTTGATTGGACTTACTGTGAAAAGCTATAGTGAACCAGTCTTTATGACGTTCATTTCAAGGATGGGATAGGTGCTTTCCCTAGACATAATCTCTTGAAACCAGATCGAACAATCTACTCTATGCTGTGATAGTTTTGGTTCAATGAAATATTCATTCAACTAATAGTTTTAGATCATTTTGCAGAACTCATTGAAAATTATAATGTACATAATCTTATGTTTAGTATGCCGTAAATCAATGCATGAAACATGATTGAAAGATTCAGAAACTCAATCAACCGATACTTGTTCCAAAATTCTAGAAATGTTTCAAAATTCTAATGGAACAAAAGGTGTGAACCGCTCTTGAACATTTCGAATCGATTTATTTAATCTAAATCGCATTTGAAAATCTCTTTAGATCTAGTTCAACATAAATAAAATAAAATATCTTCATCTATGGACAGCTCAATATCAATAGCTACGATTATAAAGTCAATATTGCTAGTCGAAGTGGACGAATAAACTTAAATGAAGCTTGTAGTTTCAGATACGTATGTCTCGATGCTTTGATGAAATAGATATAATAGAAGACAACTAACATCAGGACGATTCATTGCAACAACATAAAAAAAACTTTGATGAATTTTGTGTTTTTGAAGTTATAGTGTACCAGCAGCAAATATATAAAATATAGTAAAACTTTGTTCAATAAGTGAACGTATTTTCACTGACGACGAAACATGTTCAAGTTTATGTTGCAGATTAAACTCATATTTAGCCTATAGGAAGGACTTTGCAAGACTAAGGAAAATTTAAAACGAATAATCCTCATGTCCTGATCATTAGAATTCATGATTATTTCGCTGAAGTTTTCTGGAACTTAGCCAATTGCTGATAGATAATTTAATAATAAGATTTTGACATGATATTCTGTCCAAAGAAGTCTCATACCCATAAGCAGCTTGTAAGAATTTCGGTGGAAAGAAGTTAACTTTTTGATAAAACAAACAAGGATTTGTCGTATTTTCTTCGAAAGCTTTTAATGCGGAAAACTGAAAGTGAAATGATGGGCCTTGTAACTATTGAAGATTTTTACAGAAATCTGGAATAATAAAGGATCAGTGTAAACAAAAAAAAATGCATCCCAAAAGCGACTGCTGTCGATGAATCCATAAATCTTTGCTTAAACATTCACTGTCACATACCTTTCGTTGAGCTGCCAAAGCGTTGTAAGACGACATCCGAAAGATGTTTGTCATCTATAATAAGACAAACAATGATAAAAAAATTGATTAGATTTTAGTTGATACCATTGTGGAGAATCCAGGTACGACACATGACATTCCGATAAGACCAAGTTTCAACTCGGCAATACAGATAATTTCGTCTTCATCCGTATTCCAGCCTGGTATAGAAACAACGTTCATCTAAAACGATACTCGTCATCGGTATCTATACAAGAGATCCTTCTTACCTTGTTGCGACATTCAAGTAGTTGTAAGAGTATCCGAATGCGTTGATTGAAGCTTTTCAAACTGATCACTCGCATGATATTCGCTGAATCGTCACTATCTGGATCTGCACATTCTTTATTGGCAATGATCAAACAGGCTGTAGCCTTATCAACCTTGGTAGATGAAAAGCAAGTCTTCTTATTGATGAGGAGAGAAAGAATAAAGCATTACAGCTTTCGACAACATACTGACTTCTTAGAAAAATCCTCTCAAAGTCATAGAACGACCCAGTTTTACTTGTTGATATTTTGTCAAAAGTTTCTAAAAGTTGTACATATGCATTAAAATTTGCTAACGAATCATATTTAACTTTTTCAAGAAGAAGTATGGTGATAGTGTTGCCTATTCGTATAAACTGATCGTTAGATTTGCCGAACTTTAAAAAAGTCTTTCATCTCTCATTATCGATTGTCGCAAAATATTGATGACTATGCTAATTGTAACAGGTAAGGCATCACTATATCTACATAATTTTGAGTGAATACATAATCATTATATACGATCATTGCGAAAGCAATTCCTATGTGTCATTGAGTTATTAAGCTGATTTCATAATGATACATTTGATCTATATATGTATTTATTCGGTTAACCATGACAGTATTTTTCTTGCTTCCATCACGTTCTCAATCAACATCCGAATCGTACATCTATGATACTTCCTACCGCAGTCTTAAATCAATTTAGTAAAGTGGATATGTCAATCCTTTAGATGACTATAAGTAGCCTTAGTAATTCAATCGAGAATGTATGATGTGTTCTCTTCATTATGCTTCAATCAGCTTACTTGTATACGTTGCAAGTCAGTTATATTCATGATACTGCCAACAAAATAGTGTACTTTCGCATAATATCGTTTGAGGAGTGCTTCCATTCCAATTTCTGGTGTTTTTCTATCAATAAAAACTAAGAACATTGTATTCATCAAAATTTTACTAAGATCATGCCTGTCGATGATGAGGACATCGAGTTTGTCTGCTTGTTTGCGACCTTTATGGAGAAAATCATTAAGAAATGACGTCAACGAATGTGGTGTGATATAACCACAAATGATAACATGACTAGAAAACAAGTATGGTCATACAAGGAAGTATATGTAAAACGTACCGTTTGCCTTTGACTATCTTGTAGTAACCGGCATACGGACCTTTTGAACCAAATAAATTGGCAAATTCCGGAATCATTGTAGCGAATACTGCCTTAATATTTAAAAGCAATGTTCGAATAGATAAGAACGAAAAAGATATTTACCAGTCCGCTTATAAGAAACAGAAGTACGAAAAATCTGCCAAGATAAGTCTTGCATGAGATATCACCGTACCCAACCTAACATCAGGCAATGCTATCTTTCATTTTCTGGCATTGTTTAGATATTAACTCACTGTTGACATAGTGATAATCATAAAGTAGGCTGTAGTAAAAAGATCCAACTTTTGTGCATTACAAAAATTACAAAAGAAATCGCCCGAATTCTCAACCAAATGCACTAGACCGGCAGCCGCAAACCAAACAGCAATAAACTTCGATGCTAATTGAGTGATTCGGATCATGCGAGGACGGTCGATAACACCCATGTATTGTAAAATGTCCGGAATATTCATCATAGGCAGCGAACGCAGAAACCGCAATCCTATAAAAATGAGAAATGGATTCAATGAACCAGAAAAAAACATATCCGATCAATTACCTATCCAGCTTCGATTGAGATAGACAGCTACAAATGAAGGTGGAATTGTAAAGATGTCGACAAGAGAATGCAAACTCAACCAAAAACGTAATTTATTCCGTGCAGTAGCAAACTAACACAACAGTAGAAAAGTATCAATCAAAAGGAAAATTTAAACACTCACTCGAAGAATGAAATAAACGAGAAAAATAACGTTGAGACTAAAATCGATCTGCATGCTGATTGACTTCTGGAATGTCGTGCACGATTCCATGTAACTTGTTAGAATAAAAATCATGATGCAATAATAAAACTTCGATCCAAATAATACAAAAAAAAATATGGGGAGTGTTATTTTAAGGAATATAAACCTATTTAGTTTTTATTTCGCATAGATTCAAATCGCCGGATTCGATAAACAGTCAGACTCAATACATCTTCCGATAATGAAGCAGTGAATGGATGAATATAAAATATAAAATAATCAGTTTGCGAAGTTTCTGAAATTCTATCATCTTTTCAAATGATTCAGACATATGAGAGCCATGATCTATCGATGAACTATGATCAACTAGTGTTCGAGTCCTCGCAACTTCACTTGACAGCAAAGATCTTCCAAGCTCCACTACTGTACTGCGATATACTGTTAGCTGAAGATTGTTGCCTATATAAGATGGCATGAGAAATTGTGTTATATGCAAGTCATCAGTTTATTTTCTGTCCTT